CAATGCAAATATGGAAGCACTATGCATTACTCCTCGATGGGCCATTACCCACACCAGACAACACAATCACCCAACACCTTCTCTCCTGGTGGACATCAGCAAAAGGAAAAGGGTTCGAGGGGAATCTAAAGGCAGTGGTACCTGGATTCATCGCATGGGCCTTATGGAAGAACCACAACTCAGCTCTCTATGAAGGTACTCAAAACAATGCCCATCACCTACTCAAAACCATCCACTCCCTAATCCAAAAATGGTGCTGGATAAATCGGAAGAAAAAATGGCTGATCAAAGGTCCAAACCAGAATCATGAGCATTGGCGAGGAGAATTTTTCTGGCTTAGTGGAAAAAGAGTTTTAGCCTCCTTAATATATTCATAACCATGAACTTCAGTTATATCTTTGTTGTATTTGCCTTTCTATCAACTTTGGGGCCAGGTCTAGCCCTCCCCAAACTTGCTGTAACACCTCTTACTTAATTAATAAAAATCCTTAAAATAAAATATATATATATATATATATATATATATATAATTATCACAACTATATATTTAATATTACTCCCACTAGTATAGTATACTACTGCCTTACAAGTCCTATGTGTGTGACCCTTTAGGTATTCATAATACTGGAAATGATATTAATATAAATTAATACCATAGATAATAAGTGGTATCTAGCAACACATTATTACCCTCAAATGATGAAAAAGACGTTCATCTCATCAATACCTTCTACGACACAAGACGTTCTATAACTATTATCCTTCTGTCCTAAATGTCATGATTTAACACAAGGCATGGGATGTGTATCCTTGTATAGTTAAATCAGTTGTTTCTGAATCTCAAGTAGACTAGTACGGATCAGACGATATTTATCAGTCTCTGGATAGCGACATATCTGGCCATGGCCATGCACTTTCCCAAGTCCTACTATTTAGTGGGCCCATTGACATTACACTTCTATACACTAGAAGAGACAGATCATATAGCTGTTATTCACATCTCCGGAGATTTACCTTGGCTGCTGGTCTGGACGAACAAGAAGGAGAGGAAGGTGGATGGTGATGATGATTATGGGAGGTTACAAAAATGTGATGAGTGAAGGGAGGGGATGTAACTTATAATGATGATCATTATGGTGAGTTAAAGGAAAATAATGAGAGAATTGATTTTGAGAAATGGAAGAGAGTGGCTGGCCGTGTGAATTATAGGGGGGGTTAAAAATATTCATTTACTCCGTTATGTAAAAATATGACCTGAACGGTACGCGCTTTCCCCCTGAATGGGTCCGAATTGCGATCCGTTTGCGTTTCTGGAATCAGACAGCCAAAACAAGTTTAATGATATGATCAAATAATTTTTCTAAGAACTTTTTTTTCCCCAACTCCGGTCCGAAACAATAATTAATTAATTAAATTAATTAATTCTATTAGACCGGGTTGCAGGGCGTTACATCTATGTTACTGAAGCGTTATTGTCTATGGACTGAATCTATGTTATGTTACACGAGATATAAAACATACTTCAAGGCCTTTCATTCATGAAAAAGTGTACAGTTACATAGGTATTTGATTGCCGCTAGGGCACCTAAATACAACAATCTCCCACTTGCCCTAAGGCTAATCAAGCATTTCTCGAATGCCCATGGACCACGTATGACTCTCGTGTTTAGGCTTTCCCAAAGCCTTCGTCAACGGATCTGCAATATTATCGTCTATACCTATCTTGCAAATCTCAACGTCCCCGCGTGCAACGATTTCTCATATAATGTGATAACGTCTAACGATGTGTTTGGTCTTTTCGTGAGACCAAGGTTCTTTTGCATGTGCAATTGCCCCATTGTTGTCGCAAAACAACGGTATAGGGTTCTTGATGCTAGGAACCACTCCAAGCCCAGTAATAAAATTCTTGAGCCACACACCTTCCTTGGCTGCCTCGGCTGCAGCCATGTACTCTGCTTCTTTAGTGGAATCAGCAGTAGTATTTTGCTTGTAACTCTTCCAGGTAACAGCTCCGCCATTCAAACAAAACACATAACCTGCCTGCGACTTGAAGTCGCCTCTATCAGTCTAGAAGCTGGCAATAGTATAACTGACAATACTGAGCTCTTCTTTTCTGCCATATACCAGGAAGGCATCCTTAGTCCTACGGAAGTACTTAAGGATGTTCTTCACAGCCGTCCAATGGCTTTCGCCAGGGTTGGACTGGTATCTACTCGTGACACTTAGAGAAAAGGCGACATCAGGTCTCTTACATACCATCACATACATGATGGATCCAATGTCCGACGCATAAGGAACATTTCTCATGCGTTCTACTTCTTCTGGAGTAGAAGCACCCTGAGTCTTGGAAAGACTCATGCCTTGGACCATAGGCAAACTTCCTTGTTTCGATTCAGACATGCTGAATTTAGTGAGGACCTTGTCTATGTATGTACTTTTACTGAGACCTAACAGCTTCCGTGATCTATCCCACCGGGTTGCAGGGCGTTACAATTATCCACCCCTTAAGAAAATTTCGTCTTCGAAATTTACCTGATCACTGGTCACTGAAAAGATGTGGATAACGAGTGCGCATGGATTCCTCGGTTTCCCATGTCGCCTCTCCAATGGTGTGACTTCTCCAGAGAATGGTTTTGTTCCTCAACTGACGAACCTCCAAGCCAGAATCTCAATCGGCTCCTCCTCGTACGTGAGATTCTCATCGAGTGTGACTGTATCAGCCGGAATCACATGAGAAGGGTCCGACCGGTACCTCCGGAGCATTGACACGTGGAATACATCGTGGATCTTGCTCAACTCCGATGGTAACTCAAGCCTGTAAGCTAAAGGCCCCACCCGTTCAGTGACTAGGTACGAGCCTATAAACCTCGGACTCAATTTTCCCTTCTTTCCGAAACGTAGGACGTTCTTCCAAGGTGACACCTTCAAGAAGACCTTATCTCCGACTACATACTCGATGTCACGCCTCTTAAGGTTAGCGTAGGACTTCTGTCAGTCTGAAGCCGCCTTAAGTCGGTATTTTATCACCTGGACCTTCTCCTCGGTCTCACGAACTAAATCTGGTCCTTCCAACCTCCGCTCGCTGAGCTCTGTCCAGCAGGTAGGAGTACGACAGGGTCTACCGTACAGAGCTTTGTACGGTGCCATACCGATGTTAGCCTGGTGACTGTTGTTGTATGCAAATTCCATGAGTGGCAGGTATCGCTCCCAACCGTCCCCGAAGTCGATTGCACATGCACACATCATGTCCTCAAGAATCTGGATCACCCTTTCAAACTGACCGTGTGTCTAAGGGTGGAATGCCGTACTGAAGTGGAGATCGGAGCCCAATGCCCTCTGTAGGCTCTTCCAAAAATGTGATGTGAATCGAGGATCACGATGCGAAATGATAGATGATGGAACTCCATGTAGCCTGATGATCTCGCGGATGTACAACTCCGCTAAATGCTGAAGTGAGAAGTCATGACGAATGGGGAGAAAATGAGCTGATTTGGTCAACCGATCAACGATGACCCAAACTGTGTCGTGCTTACGTGGTGACAATGGCAGTCCCACAACAAAATCCATCGTGATACGATCCCACTTCCACTCGGGGATGGTAATCTGCTGAAGTAATCCTAAAGGAACCTGGTGCTCGGCCTTGACCTGCTGACAAGTCAAGCACCGTGATGTGAACTCCGTGATCTCCCGCTTCATCGCGGGCCACCAGTAATATCTCCTAAGATCTTGAAACATCTTGTTACTCCCCGGATGCATGGTATATACAGTGTTGTGTGCTTCGCAAAGCAGGCGAACTCTCACCTCCCCCGCTGGCACAACCATACGCTCCCGATAGTACAAGATACCATCCCGAACTGCAAAGTCTGGCTTCTCTCCTCGAGAGACGAGCTCAACGGTCTGGATACAGAAATCATCGCTACCCTGGGCTGATGCTATCTGCTGCTGTAATGTAGGCTGGACGTGTAACACAGCTAGAGTCTTACGACTAAGGGCATCGGCCACCACATTTGCCTTACGTGGGTGGTAGGCAATGTGACAGTCGTAGTCCTTAATCAACTCTAACCATCTCCTCTGTCGGAGATTCAGATCCTTCTGTGTCAACAAGTACTTAAGACTCTTATGGTCGGTGAAGATACGCGTCGTCTCCCCGTAGAGGTAATGCTTCCAGATTTTCAAGGCAAGTACAATAGCTGCTAGCTCAAGGTCGTGCGTCGGATAATTACCCTCATGCGGCTTCAACTACCGAGATGCATAAGCAACGACCTTGCCCTCCTGCATAAGAACACACCCCAAGCCGTTATGTGAAGCGTCGCTGAATGCCGTATACTCCACTCCTGGAGTGGGCTGGACTAGCACTGGTGCCTGGGTCAGACACTCCTTTGGCTGCTCGAAACTCTGCTGACAGGCGTCAGTCCAAATGAACTAGACGTCCTTCCTCATCAGCTTGTGCAATGGCGATGCTATTTTAGAGAAGTCCTTCACGAACCGACGATAGTAGCCCGCCAGTCCGAGGAAGCTCCTCACCTCACGTGCATTACGCGGAGTTTTCCACTCCGTGATCGCTGCTATCTTACACGGGTCTACCTTCACACCTTCGGCCGAGACGACATGGCCGAGGAAGGTAACCTCGTGCAGCCAGAACTCGCACTTGGAGAACTTGGCATAAAGCTGCTGTTCCCGAAGAATGCTCAAGACAATGCGTAAGTGCTCGGCGTGCTCCTCTTGTGTCTTGGAGTACACCAAGATGTCATCGATGAAGACCACCACGAACTGATCAAGATGCTTCCGGAAAACACTGTTCATCAGTTCCATGAACACTGCTGGTGTGTTAGTCAACCCAAAGGGCATAACTATGAACTCGTAATGACCGTATCTAGTGCGGAAAGCCGTCTTAGGGATATCTTCCTTCTTAACGGGAATCTGATGGTATCCTGATCGGAGATCGATCTTAGAGAAAACCGTGGCTCCTCTCAGCTGGTCAAACAAATCGTCAATGCGTGGTAACGGATAGCGGTTCTTGATGGTGACTTTGTTCATTTGACGTTAATGGATACACAACCGCATCGACCCGTCCTTCTTGCGGACGAACAGAACCGTTGCTCCCCAAGGGGACACACTGGGACGAATGAAGCCCTTATCCAGCAACTCCTGCTGTTGAGCCTTCAACTCCTTCATTTCTGCAGGTGCCATGCGATAAGGTGTGATTGAAATCGGTCTTGTTCTTGGAACTAGATCAATGGAAAACTCTACCTCCCTAGGGGGCGGTAGACCGGGTAGGTCATCTGGGAACACATCAGAAAAATCACATACCGTAGGGATGTCTCCCCTACTAGGTGCCTCCTGATGAGTGTCACGCACTATGCAAAAAAATGCTTCACACTTCTTGCGAATGAGTCGGCGAGCATGAATGTAGGAAATAAATTCTGGAGCTTTCGGAAGAAGCTCACCACGGATCAGAACGTCACTACCGTCTTCGGCTCTCAGTCGAACAGTATGCGCTCCACAGTCAACAACAGCTTGGTTGGCAGTGAGCCAATCCATGCCTAGAATAACATCAAACTCACGATGTGGAAGCTCAATGAGACTTGCAGGGAAAGTCTTCCCCTGGACCACTAATGGACAATCGTGATACACATGGGTGAGTCGTAAACTGTGTCCCAATGGGTTGGACACAATTACTGGGTTGTCCAAGTCCTCCCTTGGAATGTTAGGCATTACAGGCATAGGCATACAAACATATGATAAAGTGGAACCCGGATCAATCAAGGCTGTAATAGTTGTATCGAATAAGGTAAACATACCCATGATGACGTCACGGGCTGGCTGCTCGGTACGCCCTCGCATTGCGTACGTACGGGCCGGGGCCTTTCCCGCCTGGGCACCTAATGCTTGCCGCTTGGGCTGACTGGATGCTGCCGCCGACTTCTAGCTATGTGCGGGTTGCGCTGCTGGAGCTGAGGCAGCTGGTGCAGATGAGAATGCCTCACCCGGATTCTTCGGACAATCTCTACGGAAATGCCCGGCCTGGCCACACCCAAGGCATAGACCCTGAGTGAACCAGCACTCTCCCGGGTGCCTGCGCCCACAATGGTCGCAGATCGGGTTGCGAAACCCATCTGCGCTCTTGCCCTTCTTCTGAACGGACGTGGATGACTGCGCTGGCGCTGCCTTAGCCTTCTTGCTCTGGTGGGAGCTGCTAGGTGTTGCAAAGGACCTCTTGCTACTGGTCCCCGCCTTCTGGGTGGAGGAGGACGAGATGGTGTCGCTGGCGCCCCCTGCATCTGCTCATACTCAGCCTTCTTAATGAGGGCCGCATTCATGTCCAACGCATGCTTGAACAATGTGTTGATATCAACTCGAGGGGCAGTGATCAGATGAGCCGATAAGTCGGGACGTAAACCCTCCATGAAGCGTTTGCACCGCTTCTCCATGGTCGATACGAGGTCTTGCCCAAACCCCACGAGCTTGTCAAACTTCTTACGATACTCAGGCAGTGTGAGTTCACCATGGGTGAACTTCAAGAACTCCTCCCGCTTCGCCTCGGTGAAGTGCTCCAGGATGTACTCTTCATGGAAGAGTCGGTCAAAAGTGGCCCACTGAACGGGCTCCGGGACGTCCGCTCCCACGCGCTTCCACCAGTCGTAGGCGGAATCCTGATGTAATGCGACTGCAAGGTCGCCACGCTGCTCTTGTGGAACCCTCAGGTTCAAAACACTCGGATGGTTCGCTCAAACCACCGCTTAGCGATCATGGGGTGTGAAGCTTGAAGCTTCGTGTGCATGCTCACGTGCTCAGGCACCCCCTCTAGGACAGGCTGTCCGTCGTTTCCTGCTGCTTGACTCATTCTCTATAGGAATAGCTTACATCAGAAACTAACTACAATATAACATACATGTGAATAAGATAACGGTGTACCTTTCCCTGGGAGTGATGTGATGGGAGATGCGGCCGTGGACTTTTGAAAATACTTTTTACCAAGATGACAAAATATGTTTTTTTTTCACAAAAACCGAACCTCTCGGATACCAAATTGTAACACCCGCCTTCCGTGGACCCAGTTCACCCGTGACCCAATGGACCGGTAGGGTTACATGGACTGTCCGAGAACCGTCCGTAACGTAAAACATTGATATAAATTAATTGTGAAAACGGTTGGGTTTTAATTAGTGAAATAAATGCTAGTGAGTTACTCCCAAAACGTGTTTAATAAAAGTGTAGAGTAAATGCGGAAGTAAATAAATAAGTCCAGTCCAAATTAATTAACGACAAGGGTGGGTTCATGCCCAAATGATTAATCAAGTAAATGGAAATAAATATGAGCTCGTCCGTGTGCCGCCCATCTCCCCATCGTCACTGCTCCCCAGGGTTGGCACCTGCACCGTCATGTCTACCTGCGTAGAGCAAAAACAACTACACGCTCAGCAAAAGCTAGGGAGTGAATCTAACAAAAGAACATTAAATGATAACCCATATGGCTATACACATATTTATACCTGTACTTAACGTACGAAAACAACATGTTACTAACTGTTTAGTTTTCACCTGCTAGGACTATTATAACCACAAGGTGATAGGAACATACATGATGATGATGTGACTTGATGCATGACTTAAACTATCAGGGACACTCCTGGCTTAGTCTCACTCGACAGGATCACCCCTGCACTCCGGTCATCGTACCCGAACGGTAACGAGCCGGGCACGACGAAGATGTCGCGAGTGGACTAGCAAAACCGGGTAGTAGCCGTAACCTGACTACTATGTACGTACACAAGCCCACATGATGAAAAACCCGTTGGACCCAAAAGGTTCCTGGACGGGCCCGCTGTAGTAGGCGCCCGAAGTCCTCCCTACAGCGGTATGCACATGATGAAAACCTAGGACATGCGTCTAGAATGAACATGATGAATGCTTGATATATTTACCTTTGGTCAACGCCAAGAATATATCAATTAAATAACATTTATAAAGAAGTTTAACATTTCATGCAACAAACGATTAGATTCTGGGTCAACGTGGTGAACGGGGCTCGTTCTACAAACTGCCCGGAAATCTGCCCACGAAACTGTCGACCGTAGCCTACCGCGATCGACCGTGGGCTACGTTGAGGAGGTCTGGATGGCCGACGGTCCACCGTGGTCTTCCGTCGTGGCCGGCGGTCGACCGTCACGGTGGTGACTGTCGGGATGGCCATGGGAACGGTCCACTGTCCGTAGCGGCGGTCGACCGTCCCGGTGAAAATCCGCTGTCCCTTGCTCCATTTTGGTCCGTTTCGCTAATTTAACACTTAGATTCTTTTCAGAACAATAACACAACATTGATGAATATATTCCTAGTGATTCCTAGGCCAATATTTATAGGTTTTACGTAATAAACGTTTTGGTGGCTAACCTACGAACATGCATAGATTCTATGTAGGTTGCGTACGATATTCCTATGAATATAACGACATAGATTATAACTAAATGTTCTAGAATTATAGAGGACAACTACTCACCTCTTAACGAAGGGGTTGACGGAACGAGATGAACGAACGGTACTAACGAACAGACGAACGACGACTACGCTTCGCACGAACAGCCTAGCTCTTCTTCTCCTTTTTCTCCCGTGCACCCGCCGGAGCTTCGCCGGAGATTTACCTTGGCTGCTGGTCTGGCCGAACAAGAAGGAGAGGAAGGTGGATGGTGATGATGATTATGGGAGGTTACAAAAATGTGATGAGTGAAGGGAGGGGATGTAACTTATAATGATGATCATTATGGTGAGTTAAAGAAAAATATTGAGAGAATTGATTTTGAGAAATGGAAGAGAGTGGCTGGCCGTGTGAATGATAGGGGGGGTTACAAATATTCATTTACTCCGTTATGTAAAAATCTGACCTGAACGGTACGCGCTTTTTCCCCCGAACGGGTCTGAATTGCAATCCGTTTGCGTTTCTGGAATCAGACAGTCAAAACGAGTTTAATGATATGATCAAATAATTTTTCTAAGAACTTTTTATTTTCCACAACTTCGGTCTGGAACAATAATTAATTAATTAAATTAATCAATTATACTAGACCGGGTTGCAGGGCGTTACATCTATGTTACTAAAGCGTTATTGTCTATGGACTGAATCTATGTTATGTTACACGAGATATAAAACATACTTCAAGGCCTTTCATTCATGATAAAGTGTACAGTTACATTGGTATTTGATTGCCGCTAGGGCACCTAAATACCACAATCTCCCACTTGCCCTAAGGCTAATCAAGCATTTCTCTAATGCCCATGGACCACGTATGACTCTCGTGTTTAGGCTTTCCCAAAGCCTTCGTCAATGGATCCGCAATATTATCGTCTATACCTATCTTGCAAATCTCAACATTCCCGCGTGCAACGATTTCTCATATGATGTGATAACGTCTAACGATGTGTTTGGTCTTTTGGTGAGACCGAGGTTCTTTTGCTTGTGCAATTGCCCCATTGTTGTCGCAAAACAACGATATAGGGTTCTTGATGCTACGAACCACTCCAAGCTCAGTAATAAAATTCTTGAGCCACACACCTTCCTTGGCTGCCTCGGCTGCAGCCATGTACTCTGCTTCTTTAGTGGAATCAGCAGTAGTATTTTGCTTGTAACTCTTCCAGGTAACAGCTCCGCCATTCAAACAAAACACATACCCTGCCTGCGACTTGAAGTCGCCTCTATCAGTCTAGAAGCTGGCAATAGTATAACTGACAATACTGAGCTCTTCTTTTCCGCCATATACAAGGAAGGCATCCTTAGTCCTACGGAAGTACTTAAGGATGTTCTTCACAGCCGTCCAATGGCTTTCGCCAGGGTTGGACTGGTATCTACTCGTGACACTTAGAGAAAAGGCGACATCAGGTCTCCTACATACCATCGCATACATGATGGATCGAATGGCCGACGCATAAGGAACATTTCTCATGCGTTCTACTTCTTCTGGAGTAGAAGCACCCTAAGTCTTGGAAAGACTCATGCCTTGGACCATAGGCAAACTTCCTCGTTTCGATTCAGATATGCTGAATTTAGCGAGGACCTTGTCTATGTATGTACTTTGACTGAGACCTAACAGCTTCTGTGATCTATCCCTATAGTTCCTTATGCCAAGTGCATAACTGGCATCTCCCAAGTCCTTCATAGAGAAACTCTTACTCAACCATGTTTTGACAGTTGTTAAAGTAGGAATATTGTTTCCTATTAGCAGTATGTCGTCAACATACAGAGCAAGGAAGACTACAGCACTCCCACTGACCTTCTTGTATACACAAGATTCATCCGAATTTCTTTCAAAACCAAAGCCGATGACAGTTTCGTGAAAGCAGATGTTCCAACTCCGTGAGGCTTGCTTTAATCCGTAGATTGATTGTAACGCCCTATAGACCGGCCTATTAGCGAGCCAATATTCTAAATAAATAAATATTATTATTTATTGAGACTCATTATAATAAATATCTAGATTTTGACCTCTTTAAATGGATTTCCAAAATTAATGTATTTTAATAACGGGTCTCTCGACATTAATTAAGTAAATAAATTAATTAATGATTGGGATGGATCCGGAAGTTGGGGAAAATAAAAGTTCTTAGAAAAACTATTTGAACGTGTCATTAAGTTCGTTTTGAATGTCTGATTCCGCAAACACAAACGGATCTCAATTCGAACATTTTCGGGGGGAAAACCGCGTACCGTTCAGGTTAGATTTTAACTTAACAGAGTAAATTTTAGGGAAATAACTCCCCATCTAATCCTCTCCCACGCCACACCCTCTCATTTCTCATAACCCCCCATTTATTCTCAATTTAATTCTCCACTAATTTCCCATTAATTCTCATCATTGTTTTCATTTTAAAACCCCCAACCCATTCCCTTCCTCCTTCACACTTTTGTAACCCCCATATTCAACATACATTCACTCTCCATCTCTCTCTTGTTGTTCGGCCAACCACAGCGGCAGCCAGGCAAGGAGTTTTCCGGCGAGGAGACAAGGAGGTAGAAGAGAAGGAGGGCTATGCGAGAAGTCGTTCATTCATTCGTTCGTCCGTTCATCGTTCATTGTCATCCATCCGTTCAATTCACATACGTTTCATCAAACCCTTCGTTTAGAGTTGAGTAGTTGTCCCCTCTAATTATAGAACATTTAGTTATAATCTATGTCGTTATATCCATACAAATATCGTACGCAACCTACAAAGAATCTATGCATGTTCGTAGGTTAACCATCAAAACGTTCACTACGTAAAAATCGTATATATTGGCCAAGGAATCACTAGGAATATATTATCAAGGTGTTAAGTTTGAAAAATGGATCAAAACGTAGCCAAGGACAGAAGACTGTCACCGGGACGATCGACCGTTACTTGAGACAGTGGACCGTACCCTCGGCCAGTCCAGCGGTCACCGCCGGGACGGTCGACCGTCAACCATGACGGAATACCACGGTGGACCGTTTCTGACCCAAACCCAGAACATAGCCCATGGTCGACCGCCGGTAGGTCACGGTCGACCGTTCTGCAGGCAGAATTCCGGACAGTTTGTAGAACGAGCCTCGCTGACCATATTGACCCAGAATCTGATCGTATGTTTGCATGAAATGTTAAACTTCATTATGTATGTTATTTAATTGATATATTCTTGGCGTTGACCAAAGGTAAATATATCAAGCATTCATCATGTTCATTCTAGACGCATGTTCTAGGTTTATCAACATGTGCATACCGCTGTATGGAGGTCAGGCTTTCGTGCGCATACTACAGTGGGCCCGTCCAGGAACCTTCGGGATCCAACGGGTTTTCATCAAGTGGGCCTTGTGTACGTACATAGTAGTCAGGTTACGGCTACTACCCAGTTTGCTAGTCCACTTGCGACATTCTGTTGAGCCCGGCTCATTACCGTTTCGATATGATAACCGGAGTGCAAGGGTGATCCTGTCAAGTGAGGCTAACCCAGGGGTGTCCCTGATAGTTTAAGCCATGCATCAAGTCATCATCATGTATGTTTCTCATCACATCAGCATTCAATGTGGTAGTATATCATTTTGTTATATGTAATAGTACCCAGCAGGTGCAAACTAATCAGTTAGTAAAATGTGGTTTTCCGTACGTTAAGTACAAGTATTAATATGTGTATAATCATATGGGTTATCACTTCATGTTCTTTTGTTAGATTCACTCCTCACCTTTTGCAGAGCGTGTAGTTGTTTTTGCAACACGCAAGTAGACATGACGGTACATGTGCCAACCCTGATGGACAGTGATGATGAGGAGATGGGCGGCGCATGGACGAGTTCAATATTTATAAACATTTAATTAATCATTTGGGCATGAACCCACCATATGTCGTTTTTACTTATTTTGGACTTATTCATTTACTTCCGCTTTAACTCTGCATTTATATCACATACGTTTTGGGAATAACTCCTTAGCATTTATTTCACCAATTAAACCCAACTGTTTTCATAAAAAATAGGCATTCATGTTTTACGTTATGGACAGTTCTCGGACCGCCCCTGTAACCCTACCGGACCGTTGGGTCGCGGGTGAACCGGGTCCACGGAAGGCGGGTGTTACATATATCGGTGCAACTTGCATACCTTGGTAGATTCTATAGGAACACAAAACCCTTCAAGTTGTGTCATAAAGACATCCTCAAGGAGGTTTCCATTAAGGAAAGCCGTTTTGACGTCCATCTGCCAGATTTCGTAATCGTGGTATGCTGCGATAGCAAGTAAGATCCGAATGGATTTAATCATGACAACTGGAGAAAAAGTTTCGTCATAGTCGATACCATGTATTTGACGATATCCTTCTGCTACCAATCGTGCCTTGAAGGTTTGTACCTTACCATCCATGTCAGTCTTCTTTTTGATCCCAATGGGTTTGATCCCTTCGGGTGCATCAACCAAAGTCCATACTTGGTTGGTGTACATGGAATCCATTTCGGACTGCATGGCTTGACGCCATTCCTCAGCCTCGGGACAACTAATTACCTCGAGGTAGGTCCCCGGCTCATCCTGGTCGATAAGCATTACGTCACCCTCAAAGGTTAGGATGAATCCATACCTTTCAGGTTGTGTGCGTAACCGGTTACACCTACGGGGTTCTTGTGTATCTCTAGTATTTTGAGGTACAATGATTTGTTCCTCTATACCTCATGTTCCTGAACCGGTGCGGTAGTTTCTTTGTCGTCTCAAATTTCTTCGACCTCTATCTTTCTCCCACTAGTTACGTTGGAGAGAAATTCCTTCTCGAGGAAGACACCATTGCGAGCAACGAATACCTTCTTATCGATAGGGTGATAGAATGAACACCCTCGAGTTTCCTTGGGGTATCCCACGAAGAAACACTTATCAGACTTGGCGTCAAGCTTGCCATTCGTCATAAGACGTTTGACGTAAGCTTCACAGCCTCAAATCTTTAAGTGTGACAGAACCGGGCATTTGCCCGTCCATAGCTGGTATGGTGTTTCTTCAACCGCCTTGGTTGGAACTCGGTTAAGAGTATATATTGCAGTGCTCAGCGCATACCCTGTAACACCCCACCCTGGATGACTCGAGTCATCCAGATCGGAGTGCTAGTAAAACCGAGCTACTTTGTAAAATATCATTTTTTCGAAATATACTCTTTTTGATATCTAAAGAGAATTTTAAAAAAAAAAAATGTTTCCCGCGTAAACTTAAGGTAAAAACATCCACAGTTAATACAACCTTACCTTGGGTAGTTGGGTTCAAGCCCAAAAAAAACAAAGTAAAATTTAGTTCAACGTTTTATTCATTATTACATACGGAGTATTAAATAAGAACTTCTTTGGTACGGACTCCACGTCCAAGCTTTCCTCCTCAGCAGTCGTTCACCTTTCTAGTACCTGCGTGCAGTTAAAAAAACTACACGCTCAGCAAAGCTGAGTGGCAAATAACCAATAGACATATATAACATGTAAACATATTTTTGAGCATTTTAGGTTATTCATGTTTTATGAGCTTTTTGCATAATTAACAATCATTAAGTAAATAATCTCACTTTGAGAAGTTACTTGGGGACTTTTAGAAAACACTTGACCTACTAGGTTAACCACAGATTAGAGACTAAGCCGTGACTAGGCTGGAACACCGCACTAGTCGATACGTAGTTTTACTTCGGATACCTCCCCGTGACCTCGGGTCCAGTAATCAGAAGTGAACCCTAGACCCACAGAGTCATTGTTGGGTTCTCGTGCGCACGTTGTGGTATGATTATTTGTAGGCTCATCCACTTGGACACATACGATCCGGCCTTATAACGTGTGGTTTTATCCACTTAGTAAAATGTGACAATACCTGGTCAGGGTATGTCGTTAAATAAACTTTTAAATTTTTACTTCGTCCCTAACTATTCAGTTAACCTTAGTATGGTCATTAACAAAATACACTTTTGATAACTTCAACCATAAACATTTTCAAAATCCTTAGTCGGTGTTCGTCCCCTTGTGTCCAAAACATTTAGTTGTTGCCAAACCAATAAAACATCACTCAAATTTTAAGTGAATAAACATTTTCAAGTCAAAATCTGAAAATGAACTACAACTATTAATTTTCAAATATACGTATGTATACACACCCTTTATATACATATAAAATCAATTGTGCTAAGTTCTAAATTTTACTATTTTACCACTGTAATCACTCTTTTAACTCTAATTGCTAAATTGTACGTAAACCTATTTATTTACTATGTTTGGCCTTTACTTGTAAACATTATATTTTTTTATGAATACTAAAAAAAATAGATAAAATCACTTATTTATTTATTTTAGCTTCGGCCAAAAATACAAATAACACTACTTATTAACTGTCAGTATTATTATTATTCCTATTTTCATTATACGCTCGGTCAATAATCATCACAACACAAAAAAAATGTAGATCTTTAATTTTTTTCCCCTTATATTACCCAATTTGATATTTTGGACCTACATATCAATTTTCCCTTTCTTTTGCATTTTTTTCTAGTGAGCCGAATTGAGAAGGGAAAAAAATGACTTCATCATTATTTTCTTCTAAAACAAAACTGTGATATAGTTTTTTTTCACCTTTTTTTTTATGGATTACGTTTCTCCTGTTTTTTCCAAAGGTAGGCTAATACGGATATTTTGTTTGATGCTTAACTTCGTATTCTTTTTTTCTTTATAACAATTGATAGATTTGGATTACAAAAAGAAAATAAAATAAAATACACAAAAATATATCAACATAAAATATATGTCTAAAGGTTGGGATCAACGGCACACCTTCGATATCGGTTAGACAAAACACTAGCTTGATGATGTTGACGGAATGATTTCATGACGACATCTCCCACGTCGATCTCCACCTTGACTATACCGCAACCCATTTTTACATACCTATCAACCCTTTTTTTTTGTTTTTTTTTAAATTTTATCCTCAAGTGGCTATGAGTTTCTCTTCCTAAGGGTCCCTATTTATAAGAAGGAAAGAAAGTTCTAGAGAATGAATGGGAAGTTAAGGGTTGCACAATAAACTAAAGAATTTAGTAAATTTTGTAACCCCATTGTTAAAGATGGTGAAGGGACGTTTGAGTAGGAAATCCACGGGTTTTCCTGCTCCGTTTGTTTAGCATTATGTGTCTGATTTCCACAGTTTCATTTATTAAATATTCCTAGAAAAATATAAATTTATACCGTTAAGTTCCATATTTTCACACATCATTTTAACATAATTTGTTTGTCAAGAAAATAGGTTCAATTGAACAAACTATATTATTCAGATAGTAGAAAACAAAAACTAATTTTATTCCCTTTCACTTTATTCTATTTTTTTCATCTCCACCACTAATTAATCACTTAAAAATTAAATTCCAAATTGATTTTTTTTTTAGATAAATAAAAGTAACATTTTTTTTATACTACTCATTTCTTTGTACTAGAAGGTTAAAATTTCTAGACCAGTTTTTAGGGCGTTACATACCCCCAGAATGATTCTGGTAGAGTCGAATAAGCCATCATAGAACGAACCATGTCAAGCAGGGTTCGATTCTTCCTTTTAGAGACACCATTCCATTGTGGAGTCCCAGGAGGTGTTAGTTGGGATAAAATCTCATGCTCTCTAAGATAGTCATCGAACTCACCACTTAAGTATTCTCCACCTCGATCGGATCGTAGTGTTTTAATACTTTTGCCAAGTTGTTTTTCAACTTCATTCTTGAATTCTTGGAACATTTAAAAGGATTCTGACTTGTGTTTCATGAGATACACATAGCCATATCTACTGAGGTCATAAGTAAATGTGATGAAGTATGGATAACCACCTCGTGCAGTTGTATTGAAAGGCCCGTACACATCGCTGTGAATGAGTTCCAGAAGATCACCAGCTCTTTCACCATGTCTGGTGAAAGGAGACTTGGTCATCTTACCCAATAAACAAGATTCGCATGTGTCATATGATTCAAGATCAAATGACTCCAGCATTCCCAACCGATGTAGCTTGGATATGCGTTTCTCGTTTATATGGCCTAACCTACAATGCCATAAGTGTGTTTGGTTCAAACCGTTTGGTTTGTTCCTCTTGGCTGAAATGTTATAGACCAGCATGTCCAAGTCAAGGACATATAACCCATTGATCATGTTGGCATTAACATAGAAAACATTCTTTCTGTAAACGGAAAGGGACTTGTCTTTAATAGAAATGATGAAACCACTCTTATCAAGACATGAAACAGAAATAATGTTTCTGCTAATTGCAGGAACGTACAAACAATCAATTAATTCCAACATTAGACCACTAGGCAAGACTAAACTATAAGTTCTGATTGCCAAAGCTGCAACATGTGCACCATTGCCGACTCGGAGTTCAATCTCGTCTCGAGCTAACCGTCTACTCTACTTCAGTCCCTACATGGTAGTACAGATATGAGACCCACATCCAGTATCTAGTACCCATGATGAAGATATAGACATGTTAACTTCTATGACATACACCTCAGAAGAAATGGTCGTACCTTCCTTCTTCTTGGTTGCGAGGTATGTCTTGCAGTTTCTCCTCCAGTGGCCTGCCATACCACAGTGATGACATTAGCCCTTTGCAATCCCTCCTACGGGTTTCTGGGTTGCAGATGAAGTGGACTTTGATTTAGGCTTTCCGACCGTCCTAGCCTTAATCTTGATCCCCTTCTTCGGCTTCCCCTTTCTGCCTTGGACCATAAGGACGGAAGCACCCTTGCCCTTAGTAAGGTTCTCCTCTGTAGTCTGGAGCATTTTAAGAAGCTCCGGAAGGGGTTTGTCAAGATCATGCATCATGTAATTCATGACAAAACCCTTATACAGCTCAAGGAACGACTGCAGGATCAGGTTCGTTGCCAGCTCCTTCTGCAAGGAGAACCCGAGTTTCTCTAGATTGGTTATGTAACCAATCATTTTGAAAACATGCGGATCGATCGGTTCCCTGAAGAGAGCTTGCAACTAAAGAGATCCTTACTCACAAGATAACGTTCATGCCTGGATTGCCCCTGGTATAGCTGCTGCAAGGCCACGATCATGTCGTGGGCCTTCATGTTCTCGTGTTGTTTTTGCAGCTCGGGTGTCATGGTTCCCAGCATGACACAGCTAACCTGGTTGTCATCCTTAAAGTGTTTCTCGTAGGCATCTTTAATCGCTTTTGGGGCGTTAGCGGGAGGGGCAGGAGGAATGGGCTTTTCGAGCACATACTCTTTCTCATCCATGCAGAGAACAATGGTGAGATTGCGTTTCCAGTCAACAAAGTTTGTTTCGTTCAATTTTGTGTTGTTGTTTGCCATCTACAGAATTTTGTGAAGATAGTTATTATCATGAATTAAGTATCTAATAGGTCTTTATTAAACACTCTCCCATTATTCCTAACAAGTCAATTACCCTCAGGTAGGGAACCTATTGACTTGGGGTTTCTTCGTGAGAAGAATACCCTAGCGGGCCAAGATCCATATTTTACTTGACTATAGTTGTGCTTTGCATCTTGCCCTACAGTCAAGTTATTTAGGTAGGAATTCATTCCAATTGCAATCCTTATTACAACTCTTTGGTTCGGTGGGTTCTTTTAAATAAAATTCTTAATTGGGCCAGATCCATATTTCATTTAACTATAGTTATGCTTTACATCTTGCCCTACAGTCAAATTATTTCTGGAAGGAATAAATTCCCATTGTAACAAGTTACAACTTTGGTTAGATGATCTGATTTTATTTATTGATCCTACCGCAGTGCTCTAAGTCTCTCATCCTTATGATCAAGACTTAGTTAAGTCTATCTTGGGGCGAGTCAGTACCCGAGTTACGGGTTTTGCGCCTAACCAACGTAAATTGGGCGTCTCACTTGGGTGAGTCCGTTACCGATCTAAATTGGGTTTGACAAGTGAAGGGGCGTTGGGGTGGCACAGACTTAAAATTATGAGGGATTAATTAAGCAATCTTGCCTATGGCATACACCATGCGTATGCACTAGTGAAAATCACATACATGCAAACATTCAATCATACATCACATGCATAATAAGTAAACGTGAAATGATTGTGGCTCCTAAAGAAAAACAAATGATAGCGCCTTGATCAAGAGATCTCTATCTCTGGCCCATCACGTCTTCCTTAGGATTCTCCATCACGAACGGACTTCGTCTTCTTGTCTTCTTATAAATTTCGAGAGAAAAGAATATTGAGGTAAAGAAGAGAATTACATCCAGAATACAGAGATGAGGCACGACACGCAGGCCGTATTTAAAATTACAACAAATATAACTAAGCCACAATCATCCACCATGCAATACTACATACAAGCATCACATGCATCACATCATATATATTAAAGCATACACCAGGTGAACCGCATTCGCCCTAGACCTAGTTTATTCTATTCTACGGATTAAACTATAACAGTAAATTAATTAAACTAGCAAGTAATTTAATTAAAAATTATAAAATACTTTAAATTTCAAGAATGTTAGAAATTTGATTTTCTAAATTCCAGAAAATAAAATATTTTATATTTACCGTATATATATATATATATATATATATATTTAAATTCAAAAAATGGATTTTATTTCGAATTAAATACATATATGTTTTCTAAATTAGCAAATAATTATTGGAGACTCCCAGTAAACTTTATTAATCTGAAAATCCTAAAATTCCAGAATGAATAAAATTTAAAATTTTGAAAACCATTTTTCATAGCTAGAAAACCGAAATGATATTGTGAAAATATATTTCGAAATTCCAAACATATCAAAATTTATGTTTCATGTCAAAAATAAGTTCCAGAACCAGAATATGATTTTTCCAGAATTTAAAATATTAATTTTTCAATTTTAAATAATTAAAAACCGGACTAGTGAATAGTACCGATCCAATTACTTCAAAAATACAAAATAAATACTTTTACGTGATTAAAAATTATGAAATTTTTTATACAAGCTTAAAATCTCTGGTCGCAACTTATTATGGATTAAAATTAATTTTTGATCTTCAAAAATGATTTTTCCTATTTTCTATTCAATAAACGAATTCAAAAATAGAAAAATAGGAAATTAATTCCAAAAATATGAGTTATATTGACATGTCAAATAAATCCCAGAAAATATAAAATCTAATTTTCATAATTATTAAGTATTTATGGCACAAATAACAAGTATTCTACAGATAAACTACTTAATAAGAATAATATAAAAATACCCCAAACAGTAATTCCGAAAATTACTAAATAAAATTATATTAGGTCCAGTATCTAAATATGGTCACCTAATCAAATTTTATAATGGGATAAATTTTTGTCTCCAAAATTTATTGACTAATCTACAAAAACGATAACGGTAAAAACTACTACACTAGTAACTTCGTAAGCCGGCTCCGATACCCTGTTGGGAAACGAGGCTTGGATAACGCAGCGGAAGACAAAAATTTAGAGTCCAAAACTCGATTCCACCCAAGAACAACTTACGTAAATTACTAGCTATAGTAAGAAATTTACCTTAACAGTGAAAACGGAGAACGGAGAAACGGTCGAGGATGGTTTTGAGGAAATGAACGTAGCACCAAACGTATGAAGCCTCCAACGTATCCACGCGAACTTGCTCCGGAGTCCTAGATTAAACTTGTGCTAGCAAATTTAATATAGGATAGTAAAAACTATAATATTACTACTTTAGGGAGTAATAAATATATAGTAAAAATATTTATCTTATAAATATATCTTTATAATATTTTGTGTATATTTCTAACACTTTAGAAAGATGACTTTTTAACACAAAATAGAATTTTCTCTCTCTTTGTTGATATGGCCGAATTTTTACATATGAAAATGGGGTGGGATTTATTTCATTTTATAATACTTAACTTAAATGAATTTCTAGAAAATAGCTTAGGGAAAAAACAAAAAATTAGGATTAGTGCAATGTCCCCAACCAACACAACAAGTCAAATATCCTTTTGTTAATCAAATATTTGATTATATCAATCAAATATATTAGTAGGTGGAATATCAAAATATGTTTTGTATTTTTCTCTTTAGAATTTCGGCCATCCCTTAATAAAAATACATTATATTTTATTTTGACATCAATAATCATCATATAATTAAACTGATGAAAAATAAAATAATATGTATATATATAATTTCGGCCCTATATATATATATATATATATATATATATATATATATTGTTTTGTCAAAATATAATTATCATATAATTAAAATGACACAAACAAAATATAATTTTAAAATACAACTGTATTTTCGAAATACACACATATATAAAATTATCACAACTATATATTTAATATTACGCCCACTTGTATAGAATACAACTCTCTCACAAGTCCTAAGTGTGTGACCCTTTAGGTATCCATAATACTGGCAATGATATTAATATAAATTAATACCATAGATAATAAGTGGTATCTAGCAACATATTATTACCCCCAGATTATGAAAAAGACGTTCATCTCATTAATACCTTCTACGACACAAGACATTCTATAACTATTATGCTTCTGTCCTAAATGTCATGATTTAACACAAGGCATGGGATGTTTATCCTTGTATAGTTAAATCAGTTGTTACTGAATCTCAAGTAGACTGGTAGGGATCAGATATTTATCAGTCTCTAGATAGCGACATATCTGGCCATGGCCATGCATTTTCCCAAGTCCTACTATTCAGTGGGCCAATTGACATTATACTTATATACAGTAGAAGAGACAGATCCTATATCTGTTATTCACATCTCTAAATATGCTTAGCGGCATATTCATTGCATAACCGTACGTCTACATAGCATTAGTTACGAATCAAAGCATACGACCCCACATATCAGAGAATGTAATAACTTCAAGTCTGAGGATAGTTATAGCAAGGTCGAATTGAGAATACTAATAAACACATTACTGTAGATCCATGCAGTATTCTCAAGATGGGTCAATCCAGTCACATATTATCGATATAATATACACCTACGTATAGATTAATATATCACAATGCCTATAGTCTATGAGACACAACTATCTCATCTCGTACTTACTAGTCTTGAAACGTTATGACGTCTGTATTATCATAAAGTGTGACTAGGGATATTCTAGACATAGCCTGCGTCAAGAAGTAACAATCTCATAATCAGAACATCGTAGTTCTCATCTATGTTAGTGAAGCGTTATTGTCTATGGACTGAAGCTATGTTATGTTACACGAGATGTAAAACATACTTCAAGGCCTTGTTAGCCTTGGTTTGCTAAGTCTCATGTTTTGATGTTAACAAACAATATAAGAGCTTGACGTTTGTTTAAGTGTTTCAGGTACAACAAGAATCCATTAAGATTCGGTTCTCAAGAATGAAGTCGAAACACAAAACTAGCGTAGAATATAGGTAGAAACCAATGTAAGAATATGACTTTATATACCTATATTCACAAGCTCAAACGCACTCACAAAATATGTTTAAAATCATCTCATAAACATTTTCAAATATCCAAAAGGTTTTAAACTCAAACAAGAAGAATTACGGGAATTTTGGAAAATTCAAGACAGTGGCACGGTACCCCTAGCGGTACCCCAAACGGTAGGGTATACCGCCTACACGGTACCCCATACCGTGTAACGGTACCTAGGTACCGACGGTAGGCGCAGACGGTTGGACCAACCCGTCCTAACCAGGTACCGCCAAAGAGGAACCCACCTTTTGGCCTATACGGTACCCCCACACGGTAGGCTATACCGTGGTCACGGTACCTAGGTACCGGACGATACTGGCCCTACCGTGAAGGGTACCGGATCCGTTGGATTACTGTTCCTGATTTGCGATTAAATCAACCCTAATCACCTCCCAACGGCTAATTAACATCTTCCACTATAAATACAAGCCTAATCCTTCATATTTCAATAAGAAAAAAAGCTCCAAACATCCTAATTTAATATTCTAAGTGTGTTCACTCCTTTATTAATTATTTGAGTAAATTCCATAATTGGTCCTTAATAACAGGGGGGTTTCCATATTTAGTCTTTTATTATCAAATATTACTCTCGTAGTCCTTTTTTTAAGGGTACCTTTCCATAAATGGTCCTTTTTTTTATCTTCTGCCGTGTTGGTGTTAATTTAAAGGCTAAAAATATAATTTGACATCAACATTATGTCTAGTGACGTGTTCTGATATTGGTTAAGCGGATAACACAAAAATAATGACTATGATTGTGGGCTAGGATTCTGACGAAAGATCACATTTGTAGACTATCGTTGTCGTAAAAAGCGACTGTAATTCACAAACGACGCAAACGGAACAGCCTTTGGAATTGTGTATGACAAAAAAGATATATTATCATTGTGAAATTACACTTTTAGCCCTCAAATTAACACCAACATGATAGAAGATCAAAAAAAGGACTATTTATGGAAAGGTACCCATAAAAGAAGGACCACTGGGGTAATATTTGATAATAGAGGACTAAATAGGGAAACCCCCCTGTTATAAAGGACCAATTATAGAATTTACTCGAATTATTTTCTATATTTTGGCTATTTTAAGAGCCTTAAAATTCCTGATTTTTATACACACACTTTGAGCTTGTGTTTCTAGTTATATACTCTCATATTCATAAGTTTGAATTGTATTTTTGAGAGAGTATACTTTCCTTCTACACCGGCTAAGTTTTGTTCTTCATTTTTATATTCAAGCCTTAGTGTAGAACTTTTGTTTGTGTTTTTCAAACACACCTTCTTACGGTCGAGAATAGCCGTTAAATTCTCACATTGTAACGGTCAAGGATAGCCGTATAAATCCTTGGATAAAGGTTCAAGGATAGCCTTGGAAATCCTTGGGGGAACGGTAGAAGATAGCCGTAAATCTTCATTGTAAACGGTACGAGATAGCCGTGGTAAAATCTCGGAGTGAATCCTATTGGCAAGGGTTGTTTGCCAAACTAGTGTGGTGCTTTGACGGAGTTCAAGAGACCGAGACTTAGTGGATTCGGAAATCCTTGAGGAGGAGCCTCGAGGTACTGGAGTAGGGAGTTCCCGAACCAGTATAAAATCGGTGTGCATTTTATTTACGCTTTTATTTCTGCGTTTTATATATTGCTTCCGCATTTGCCAACACCGTTTTTATTAAACTCTGAAAATATTTTCAACGCCTTATTCACCCTCCCCTCTAAGGCGTGGGCACAACGACTAAAACGACTAATAGGCCTTTCATTCATGATAAAGTGTACAGTTACATAGGTATTTGATTGCCGCTAGGGCACCTAAATATAACATGTCGGAATTCTATTGACTCCAACCCCCCTGGTTATGTGATGTCCCAGCGAGATATTGACTCATTGAAGGAGATGCGCGTTACTTTTCGTTTTGATCCAACTAGGATAGTCGTTGATGCCATATATGCTAGCAAAATGGCCCTCGATTTTCATTTAAAGATGCTAGCAATTTCCAACTGTTTCCAATACCTGACCAGGACGTCTAAAAAATCTGAGCTCCATGTTGTTTGTGTGGACTTTCCTCAGTGCAAATGGGCTGTTTGGGAGGTGCGTTTATCAGGCGTTGAGATGTTCCAGGTGTGTATTACTTTTTTTGAACATATAGGGCACCTTTTTTCTCTTTCTGTGTGTTTGGGTCGTTAATGCCCATGGGGGTCACATGGTGTTTATACAATGACATGCTACTGTTTTCTACTTCCTTATTCTACATTTTGTAATTACTCTTACCTTGATGGGCATTATATTCCTTATCTTACACCCTCTATTTAACGCAGTTTTTAATATCTTAAAAAACGTCCTACACTTCTTTTAAGAATGACTATTCTTTGTTCACTAGAAGGAGGGGTCTTGAGTCATTCATCTTTCTATCTATGTTGATGATATCATAGTCATTGGTAATAATCCCAAAGAGATCACTGATTTGAAATCATATCCGGATTCCATAATCAAATTTAATGATCTTAGTACTATAAGTTACTTCCTTGGCCTTGAGATTCTGTATCAAACTCAAGGTGTCATTATTACCTAGCGTAAGTTTGCAGTTGACCTATTGGAAGAATTTGGTTGTGCTTCTAGTCACCAAGTAGTTTGTCCCTTGGAAACACACCTCAAACTTCCTTTAATAATTGGTTCTCCTATCCCAGATCCTGCATTTTATAGAAGTTTGGTTAGAAAATTAAATTTCCTCACTCACACAAGGCCTGATATTGCTTTTATAGTATAGTTCCTTAGTCAATTCATGCAAGACTCAAGGCAACCTCACTGGGATGCAGCCATTCATACTCAATGTTACATCAAAGGCAATCCTTCTCAAGAATATTTTTGAATTCTTCTTCCACCTTCAAACTTGAAGCCTATTGTGACTCTAAGTGGGCATCATGCCCAATTTCACATCGTTGAGTTAGTGGTTACTTCATTCTTTTGGGAGGCAGTCCCATTTCTTGGAAGGCAAAGAAGCAACCTATTGGGTATTTTAGTTCTACAGAAGCTGAATATCGCTCTCTAAGACGTGTGACAGCTGAGTTAGCATGAATTTCGTGTCTTCTTTCTAAGTTTGAGATCCATGATATTTTTACCATTCCGGTTAGGTGTGACAGTAAAGCTGCGATATACATTGCCACTAACCCTATTTACCATGAGAGGACTAAACATATTGAGTTGGACTGCCATTTTGTTTGAGAAAAACTCCAAAATGGACTCATCATT